ACCATGACTTCCTGGTGGTCGCGAGCCCCTCCCCATACAACGCCATAATATGCCGGCTGATCACTTATGTCCTACGGGCGGTGGCTTCCACTTATCATTTGGCAATGAAGTTCCCTACAGACTTCGGTGTGGGGGTAGCGCGGGGCGACCAGCTCAAGTCCCGCAAGTGCTATGTCGCCGCCCTAAAGGGGAAGACCAAGGTGGCCGACGACCTCGAACTGGAGCGGCCTATGGAGCAAGGCGAGGAACAAGCTACACCCACGGAAGAAACAGTCGTTGTTTTGACTTCAGCAACAGACCCAGCTCGGACACTTCAGATCGGTGTTTTCGTCTAGAAACCCCTATGATCCAAACTAGTAAGTTTCTTACTTCAAAACTTAGATATTTTTGCATGGTCCACAGCAGAGATGCCCGGTATATACCCTAATCTTATAACTCACAAGCTCAATACTGATCCTGTAGTTAGGCCCGTTAGACAGAAGAAACGCAACCTAGCCCCGGAGCGATGGAAAGCAGTCAACGAGGAGGTCGTGAAGCTCCTCGCAGCCGACTTCATAAGAGAAGTTCATTACCCGAGCTGGGTAGCCAACCCCGTTCTGGTAAAGAAGGCTAACGGTAAGTGGCGCATGTGCATCGACTACACCGACCTGAACAGAGCCTGCCCAAAAGACTRCTTCCCCCTCCCCAGAATCGACCACCTAGTGGATGCGACCTTGGGGCACGAGTTGCTGAGTTTCTTAGACACCTATTCGGGCTATAACCAGATCAGGATGGACCTGGCAGACGAAGAAAAAATTGCCTTCATAACAGAATTTGGTTTGTATTGTTACAAGGTTATGCCCTTCGGATTGAAAAATGCTAGGGTAACCTTTCAAAGGCTTGTAAATAAACTATTTGAGCCATTAATGGGCAGAAAAATAGAATGTTATGTAGATGACATGGTCGTCAAAACTCAATTCTCACACGAATTAATACAAGACTTGCATTCTGTCTTTCAAATTCTGAGATGATTTAACATAAAGTTGAATCCAAACAAGTGTATCTTCGGTGTCACCTTGGGCAAATTCCTAGGATACATCGTTAACCGACGCGGCATTGAGGCCTACCCGGATAAGATTAAGGCCATCTTAGATATGAGACCACCCCGGAAATTGAAGGAGGTTCAGAGGTTGAATGGCCGCGTAGCTGCCCTAAGTCGCTTCATGTCCAAGTCAGCGGACCACTGCCTACCTTTCTTTAGGGCAATTAAAAGCAAAGTGTTCGAATGGACCCAAGACTACCAGCTCGAGTTTGACGAGCTCAAGAAATACCTCGCTAGTGTGTCAATCTTAACCTGGCCCGAAGAGGGCGATATTTTAGATTTGTACCTCTCGGCAAGTGATGTAGTGGTCAGCTCGATACTGATAAAGGAAGTAGATCAGGTCCAGCGATCCATCTATTATATTAGTAAACTATTGCAGGGAGCAGAGATGAGATATCCAGAGATAGAGAAGCTAGCCTACACACTGGTCATCGCAGCTCGGAAGCTCCGTTCGTACTTCCAGGCTCATACTGTTATCGTCCTTACTGAAAAACCTCTAAGGCAAGTCTTACTTAAGCCCGAGGTCTCCGGTCGATTGACGAAGTGGGCCGTTGAGCTCAGTGAGTATGACCCCGATACAAGCCGCGAACTGCTATTAAGGCCCAAACCTTAGCAGATTTCATTGTCGAGTGCACTTTCAGCTCTAAAGTCCCCAGACCGGTTGAGCACAAAGCCCCTAGTCCGAGCGAGCCCGGAGCTCCTAGGCCAGTTGAGTCCGGGCCCCATGAGGTAGCAGCCAGTGTGGCGTCTCTCCTAGTTAGGCCAAGCGCGAATTGGGATGAGGAGCCTTGGATCCTTCACGTAGATGGCTCCTCGAACCAGTAGGGCAGCGAAGCCGGAATAGTTCTGCACGGCCCAAGTGGCACGAAATTGGAGTACGCACTACGCTTCGAGTTCGCGGCATCCAACAATGAAGTGGAATACGAAGCGTTGATAGTTGGACTAGCTTTAGCCAGAGAAGTAAAAGCCAAGCACTTCGTCATCTGCAGCGATTCCCAGCTCGTAGTCAACCAAGTCACAGGAGATTACAAAGCTCGCGAACCAACCATTGTTGCTTACTTAGCCAAAGTAAGAGAGGCTCTGCTCAACTTCCAGTCACACTTCATCAGGCAAATCCCAAGGTCAGAGAACGCTGAGGCCGATGCCCTGTCCCAGTTAGCCAGCACCAGCAATATCACCATGAGAACCGTGTACATAGAGGACCTGCCTCGGCCTAGCATTCTCGGAGGGGCAGAGGAGGTCGCTCCCGTCGTTCAAGCAGAGCCGAGCTGTATTGACCCGCTCGCGAGCTTCTTGCTACACGGGACCCTCCTTGCAGATCGCAATGCGGCCAAAAGGGTAGAGCGCCAGGCAGCCAAATACGTCATAATAGACGAACGACTGTACCAGAGATCCTACACACTCCCGTACCTGCGTTGCTTGCGACCTATCGAAGCCGAGCTCGTACTCCACGACACTCATGAGGGTTTGTGCGGCGGACACTTGGGGGGCAGGGCCCTCGCCCAAAAAACACTACGATAGGGGTATTATTGGCCAACAATGAAGGCAGACGCCATCGAGCTCGTCAGAAAATGTGACAAATGCCAGAAGCACGCCAATATTCACCATCAGCCTGCTGCCGACCTCAAGTATCTTACCAGCCCGTTGCCTTTCGCACAATGGGGCATCGACATACTTGAACCATTCCCGCTAGTGGCAAGCCAGAGAAAGTTCTTAGTAGTAGTAGTGGATTACTTCACCAAGTGGGTAGAAGTTGAACCTCTTGTAATGATCACAGCCCGGAACGTCCAAAACTTTTTTTGGAAGAACATTGTGTGCCGCTTCGGGTTACCTCGGGTATTGATTTCTGACAACGACAAACAGTTCGAGGACATCAAATTCCAGAACTGGTGCCAAGACATGGGAATTCGACATAATTTCACTTCAGTCGCACACCCTCAAGTAAACGGTCAGGCAGAAGTCACAAATAGAGCCATCCTCCGCAGACTGAAAGCACACTTGGACCGAGCTAAAGGGTTGTGGGCAGACAAGCTACCCAGTGTTCTATGGGCTTATCGAACGACGGAGAAAACCGCCATAGGAGAGACCCCCTTCAACCTCACCTACGGCACCGAAGTTGTTATCCCCGCAGAGATCGAAGTAACTACGCTATGACTGGAAGCATACAGTGACCAGACGAACGAAGAGGAGCTACGAACCAACCTCAATCTACTCGACAAAGTAAGGGACCTCGCGTACATCAGGACCGCAGCTTACCAGCAGAAAGTAGCTCGGTACTATAACGCCAGGGTCAAGAAGCGGAACCTTCGCGTCGGTGACCTGTTCCTTCGTAAGGTTATGGTACCTGAGCCCGGTACTGGCAAGCTCGGGCCCAACTAGGAAAGACCCTACCGAGTGAAACGAGTGCTCGGGGAAGAAACATACGAGCTCAAGACCCTCGAAGGGAAGCAAGTACCTCGGGCATGGAATATTGTCAATTTAAGACAATACTATCTGTAACAACTGAGCAGACTACAAGTCACTCCCAGAGCCTAAGGACTAAAGTGTCGAACTGGCAAAGACCTCGGCACCACATAAGACCTAGTCGCCTCTTCGGCATTGGAAAAATCAAAGATCAAGGAGAGTAGACTTTGAGTCGCTCCTAGAGCCTAAGGGCTAAGGTGCTGAAATGGCAAAGACTTCGGCACTGCATAAGACCCAGTCGCCTCATCGGCATAGGCTAAGTACTTGTAATGCCTAAGGCGCAGGCAGCTCGGGTACGAACCTTGTGATGCATAGCCCACCCCGGCATGCAACAGGTTGAACCCATCAAGGACAACCGATGTCAGCTTAACCCGAGTGCAGACAGGTCGGGCATATACCCTACTATGTTACTCACCTCGGTGTACATAAGGTTACTCCTACTAAATACTAGAAGACGGTTCGGGGTAACGACAGTTGGGAAACCCTCACTTCGGGTGTTTAGCTTAATAGCTTAACGGTTCAGGATAAGATAATCACTTCAACAAGTAAAGAAGATTGCACAACATTTAGCAAAGTGTATTTCTATTGCAAATATTTCATTACCAAAGGTTTTGTTACAAGAAGAGAAAAAAGATCAAAGCTCGCAAATACAAGGACTGAGCTACTTTGGAGGCTCGTTGCCTTCGCCAGGGACCTCCTCAGGGGTAGTAACCAGACCAGTGGCCTCTGCTTCATCACCGGTGCTTTCATCCTCAGAGTCCCGATCATCCACTGACTGACGCACTATGTCATCAGTGATCCGTGAAGTAGTGATGGCGCTTGTATCAAGACCGGGGTAGAGATGCCTAATCAACCACTGACTGAACTTGAAGCCCTTGCGGTAGGCCTTGGTCATCACATCATCAAATCTTGAAGACTGGACATAGTTGATAACTGCTTGAACCTTAGTCTCCTTGAGGGCATCCTCGAAGATCTCGATCTTCTCTTTGAGGTCGGAGGTATTCCACCTCGTGCTCCAACTTCATTATACACAATTTAAAAGGCAAAGCCCATTAGAGCAGCCTTTAGAGCCTTGCATTGGGAATATCTCCCGACTTATATGCTTTATTTCATTGAGAGATATTCCCAATGCAAGGTTGGGAAAGACGGTTGCAACGGTGTGGGCACGGGCTTGCCCTAGCGAAAGCCGATATCATTGCATAAACATGTTTTGAAATTCGAGGACTGACTTGAAAGAATTCCCAAAACGGAGTTTTCCATAAATCTGAATCCTTGACCCAATCGAGCGCAAAAAGGATTTTTCTACGGGCAGTACTCTACTAGGGCTGGAACGGTAGAAACCCCAAAAAAAATGAAGAAAAAGAAAAAACATTAGGCCTTCTTCAACGGAACGGGATCTGCTCCTCACACTTGGCGCTTCACAGGCTCCCATGGTGGTTTCGTCACTCGGGTAACTTGTCAATGCGCCTGTTTCATTCTTGTCGCTTTAAAGTTAAAAGCTTTTAAGAATTTAAGCATTCTTCCACTACCCTGAGCCTGCACGCTCTTCGCCTGTCTGACTGAACCTCCAATTCTCCGACATTCATAACAACCATATCTATCTGAGAAGACTATGGTATGGATTGAGTGTCTTGTAGCGGATTTGGATCCAATTTCATTAATAACATTGAGCAGGAGGTTCGTTCAACGGTCGGTCTGCTAATCGTCATTTATGCGAGGTCCGGAGCAACATTTTATGATGCATTGATGCAAGCATTAAAAGGAGGAAGCGATGAAGATAGTAACTTACAACGTTAATGGTCTGAGACCACGCATATCCCAACACGGTTCTCTTCGTAAATTACTCAACTCCCTCGACGCCGATATCATCTGCGTTCAGGTTTATTTTCTATTAGTAGAATTCCTTGGGCTTTTTATTTTCTTTTTAACTTTTTTGGTTATTTACCTTTTTGTATTTCCACCGGTTTTCTGGGTGGCAAAAATTGATGAAGAGCAGGAGACCAAATTGTCGAGGCAGGACTTGAAAGCGGACTTAATTATGGCCGAGGGATATGAATCATTCTTTTCTTGCACTCGTACCTTCGAGAAGGGACGTGTTTGTTATTCAGGTAACCTGTTTGTTTAATTGCCTCAACAGAATATACCAAAATAAAACAAAATTATTACGCTTTCTAGCTCCAGGTGAATTTTGTTCACAAAATGGAGAGGGAGGTATTAGATTCCATTATGACTGCTTATGAATGCTTAGAAGGGACACCTTCCAACCTTTCTTTCACAAGGGAAATATTGATTATAGGCGATGCGTTGAGAATCTAGGTTTTATTCTGTCTTTTCTTTTTTAGTTCAAAAAGAATGAGTGTGCATTTCCTTAACGAGTGGTGTGCTACTTCTTTTCTTGGGTATGATAATAAGAATGTATAAGCTGTGAAAGAATTTCTTTAGTTTGAGGAAAGGCCACTCTAGACTTAAATTCTTGGGTAGTTTTAAGCTTTCTTAAACTTTTTGGATAAGGGAACCTAATTATATTATTAAAATCTTGGGAAAAGCTGCATTTAGCATTTTGCTCCAACATAAACTAGTATAATATCTCCTCTCTCTCCTCCCTTACTCCATCCCTTATAAACCCAGATGTGTATGCTTTCTTTTACACTTAAGTTGCAATGAAAGTCACACCTAGGCATCATAATTGATTAGTGGGAATACACTTAACTGTTATACCGATCATGGATATTTTAGTTCTGATGGCTTTTGTTTTGAATATGGTCAGAAGTATCTCATTGGTTCCTATTTTCCATGTTCAATTGTGGGATTGCATGGTCATATTCTGTCATAGTTCGATCTTCCTCATTGAATTATGAAGATTATTCTGCAAACCATTGAAACTTTTAGACATACAGATCTTGTCATTTCTATGAGTGCAATGGGATTTGTTGGTTGTACATTTCTCCTCTTGTTCTTTATATTTGAGATACTTTCCAGTGATTTGGACCATTTGATATTGAAGCTCTGTACTTGTTAGAAAGGTCTCTGAAGTTGCATAATGTTCGTATGTGGTTCTCTTTTTTTCCTGAACTACCTTCCACAAAAAGCTCTTGTTTAATTTTCAGGTGTTGCAACACTTTGCCGGGTATCTTCAGCATTTTCGAGTAATGAAGTGGCTTTGCCACTTTCTGCAGAAGAGGGCTTCACTGGTCTTCTTGGAAATTCTCAAATAGGGGTTTCCATAAATAAGGATGAAGTGCCTCCAAAAGTGGAATGCCTTGAGGGAATAACAAGAGAGCATCTCCTTAAAGTTGACAGTGAGGGACGCTGTATCATTACAGATCATGGTCATTTTGGTGAGTTAGCATGTTATTGAGTGACATCTATTTGTTTTTTAAACAAGTTTGCTTTGATTGCTCACTGATAAAAAGGAATAAGTTGCTGAGTGATAAGCACCATATTAACGGAGCCACTTTGTTGGAAGGAACATATCCTGTCAGGTGTCAAGTCCATTTTAACCACACCATTATAACCCAAAAACATTCTTGCAGTTAAATGTCTGTTTTCTACCTTTTCTCTTGTGCACATAGTCTAGGAATGCTTAAATAATGATTTGACATTTAAATTTATGCTAGAGGTATTTTTGCAGTTCTTTATAATATATATGGACCTAGAGCTGAACCCAATGATGTGGAAAGAGTCCAGTTTAAGCTCACATTTTTCAAGATATTGCAGGTAACTTGGTTTATCTTTACCTGTGCTATGTACAATGTCTTTTTTGTGTAATTTGACTTATACACATTAGTTTGCACTGCAGCATATTTTGTTGATTCAACAGTTAGAATGATATGACACTCTGTAATTAGATGCTGCTGCATAAGGGCTGTGTATGATGGGTTGTCTATCTACCTGTGGACTGTGTGAAATATGGATGATATCTTATGGAAAACTGATGTACTTTTTGTTTTTTGTGTTTTGATTGTTTAGGTTCAACCTGTATTCTATTTCAGTTTTAGTTGGCACACTCAAAGTAATTCATGAACTTGAGAACTATAGTATCTACTGATTGAAGTTGAACTAGTGGAAGCAAAAAATAGTAAATGGCTTTCAACTTGCATGTGTCCTATTGCTGGAAGCTTATTATTCTGTAATTCCTTGTCTTATGACTTGAGGTTCAGTTACCATAAAATATAGAGGTAAATATCCTTTCCCTTTTCTTATTTAGGTGCTATTGTTCCTGGCATATATGTAGGCATATCAGTTCTAATCAATTGGAACTTCCAAATAGGTAATAAATGCGGTTAAGCTATACACAATATGAAAAATCTACATTTGAATGCTTTCTTTTGTTGGTCATAATATCTATAATGCATTTATCTATTATGACATGGACAAGCTGGAATCTTGAAAGTTGAGATGGATACCTTAATACCATGCTGGGGTAGTTGCAGCTCTCTTTTAGGAAACTTCTGTTAGCTTCCTTCTTTATGGAGTTTGTGACATACTTTTGTCTTAAGTCTTGGAAATGAATACAGATCTCTTTCTAAGCTTTGAAGACAAAAGTTCTGCAACTGATTCATTATGAAGCCTATAGGAAGAAAGAAATAGCAGAACTTTTAAAGAGAAGCCTCATCATAGCAAGGAAGGTATCATGAAGGCCATCTTAGTAAGGAATGGCCCATTGGGTGAAGACCCATGAAGGAATTCAAATGTTTCTCACCAGATGATTTAATCAGGAATTGTCGTGAAGTGGCAAAATATTAGCAGTCAAATCTCTCCCACCCCTTGCTGGTCACCACCACAAAGGGGCTGAGTCAAATCCAGTATTGATTGCTATTGTCTCAGCCTCTCAGGAACCCAGATTTATCAGGGATAGGGGGAGTTTTCAGAAATGATGGAGGTGACATCTCGGCTCTATTCTCAATACCCATTGGTCAAGGAAATTCACTATGAGCTGAACTAGTGACTTTATTGCACGATCTAAGACTAGCTAAATCTTTGCAATGACAGGATTTGGAGGTGGAAGGGGACTCCAAAACAATAGTGGACTGGCGAAGAAAATCTGATACAGGTTCATTGGTTTATAGATGTTGAGAGATAACTTAAGTACAAATTAATTGCTTGGGCAGAAAGGTAGTTTAGACATTTCTCTTGTTCTAATAAGGACACACAAGTCCCTAATTTTCATTAAACAGGTTCAAGTATGTAAATGAATTTAATTACTGAATTTATTGACCAGCTGCTAGGAAAGTGAGTGCTCTTTTCTTCTCTCTCCTAAGAAGATTGTCTGTTCATCTGATCTTTTCCTCTATTTCTCCTCTTATTCTCTTATTCTCTTATTCTTTCTTCTATCTCCTTTCTCTTTCTCTGCTTTGTTAATAAATAAAGCTATAACAATAGAGGTATCATGAGGGAGGTAAAGAAGCATATAGAGGAGTAAAATATTTGCTAACAAAAGGATACTGAGGATTGCCAATTGCTTGGAAGATGGCAAGAAAACCAAGGAGCTAATAGGGAACAGTTATTCAGGGCTTGTAAATATTACGATGAGTGGCTAGTAATACTAGGCCAATTCTTGGTTACTCCTGGATATCACCTTGTGCATACTGTTCTTTTAATTGAATTAATAAAGCTTTATAGTTACTGATAAAAAAATCTACAGCTGTTGATTTTCTTTCCTTAGGTGGTGTTTGATAAGACTAAAACTTGAAATATGCAAAGCAAAATAGCTCTTCTTAACCATCAGAAATCTGAAAGGTTCAACACTTGCGACCTACTTCAAAGAAAAAGATCCAATTGGTGTTTATCCCACACTGGTGTGTTCTCTATAAGGATAATGGTGAGACTTGCTATCACTTATTAATCTCCTGCCCCCTTGTTTTGTCTATTTGGGATGGGTTTCTCTCTTTGTTTGGTCGTAGGGGGACTTCCTCACTGGATATACAAAGCTTGTTTGTTTCCTCTTTTGTTAGGTGGCCAAAGAAAAGGGGTCAAATACTATGGAGATGCACTAGAGCAGGCTATCTGCTGGAAAATCTGGGAAGAAAGAAATATGAGGACATTTTTTTGGAAAGGAGAGAAGTAGGGAAGCTTTAATTGAAGTCATTACCATTAGAGTGGTGTAGCGGATAAAATCTTTAGAGATTTTTTAGGATATTTTTACAGATGCTTAGAAATTGGAAGTGGCTGATTCAACTCCGTCTAAGGCTGCAAGTATGCCACAGTTCCCAGCCTGTAGAGGTATCAGGCAAGGGGACCCTCTATCACCTTTCCTCTTCACTCTAATAGCAGAGGTGCTTAGTAGAATGATCTCAAAGGCTGATAGAGAAGATGTGATTAAAGGGTGGAGAATAGGGAGGGATGGTATTCCGGTCACCCATCTCCAATTTGCAGATGATATTCTGATTTTCTATGATGGGGATGATATTGAGAGAGTGAGGAATCTCAAGGAATTGGTTAGAAGCTTTGAGAGATTGTCAAATTTGAGTGTCAACTTCGAAAAGAGTTGTGTAGCTGGTGTTAACTTGGAGGATAGGGAGGTGGAGTTTATAGCAAGAAGTTTAGGATGTTCTATCTCGTCCTGGCCTATGACTTACTTGGGGCTTCCATTAGGGGCAAACCCTAGGGAGAGTAGCTTTTGGTGTCCAGTGGTAGAGAGGTTCCAAAAGAAGTGAACTTCATGGAGGAAAAACTACTTATCCTTGGGGGGTAGAATCATGTTGATAAGAGCCACACTTGCTAACTTACCAACCTATTTCCTGTCTGTGTTTAGGATACCACCTAGGGAAGCTAAGAAGCTAGAGAAGTTGATGAGAGATTTTCTTTGGGAGCCGGGGGAAAGTAAAAAGGATCACTTGATAAAATGGGAGGTGGTTTGCTGGAATAAAGAGAAAGGGGGATTGGGGTTAGGGAATTTGATTAAAAAAAATAAAGCATTGCTAGGGAAGTGGCTATGGAGGTGGCCAGTGGAGAGAGAGAGACATTGGCATGAGGTGGTGGGTAGTATTTATGGTCGCTCAGAAAATGGAAGGGATGCTAAAGTATCACGGCGAGCAACCTTGGCAACACCTTGGAAAGCTATTCATGGCATTCTTCCTCAATTCCTCAGTTTTGTTAGGTATGATGTTTGCAATGGTAACTCAGTCCTATTTTGGGAGGATACCTGGGTGGGAGAGGCTCCATTGAAGGACCTTCTCCCTTCTTTGTTCTCTGTTTCAAGGTACAAAAAGTATTTTGTGTCAAAGTTTTTTTCCATTATGAATGACCCGTTAACACCAAATTGGGGCTTTGGGTTTCGTAGAGGTTTAAGGGAAGAGGAAATTGTGTCTCTCACAAATCTGCTAAGTCTACTTGATACAGTATGTTTGGACCCTTATGAACCTGATATTCAGATTTGGACACCCCAGCGGAATGGATCCTTTTCATGCGCTTCTTTCTTTAAATCCATTACCTAGTCTACCCCCAATCAGCCTTTCCCTTTTAAGGAAATTTGGTGCAGTCCTGTTCCCCCTAAGGTTATGGCTTTTTGCTGGGAAGTGTATTATAGGAAAATAAACACCTTTGACACTCTACAAAAGAGAAGACCTTTTCTCTGTCTCTCACCTTCCTGGTGTATTCTTTGCAGGTCACATGGTGAGGACTGTAACCATATACTAATATCTTGTTCATTTACTGCAGAGTCATGGGAGTGGCTCTTCTCATTGTTTGGGTGCAGGTTGGTTAGGCCAGCAGATGCAAGTTTGTTCTTTGATCCTGCTTTCTTCCCTTGGCGGCACAGAAGAGGAAGAATTATGTGGAGGTGTGCAAGAGCAGCGCTGATTTGGTCTGTGTGGGAAGAAAGGAATGCCAGAATTTTCCAAGAGAAGGAGAGAAGCCCAGAAGAGATGAAGGACTGCATTCTAAATAGGGTGATCTTATGGCTAAAATCACTAGACCTATTCCATCAATTCTCATTCAATGATGTGTGGAGGAATTGGTTAGAAGTGGCTAATTGCTCATCCATAAAAATTAAAGTGAGCATGGTTTGGGAACCCCCTCCTGAAAGATTCTTGAAGCTGAATTTCGACAGGAGTAGTCTTGGTAATCCTGGTCCGTCAGGGGTGGGAGGGGTACTGAGGAATGAGAGTGGGAATGTGGTTCTTATTTTCTCAGGACCCATAGGAGTTGGAAACTCTACTAGGGAGGAACTTGCTGCCACTATCCAGGGAGTACAGTTAGCAGTGCAGATAGGTGTGGAACAGTTGATAATAGAAGGGGACTCCAAGGTGGTAGTGGGCTGGCTACAAAATCCGGAATCTGTAGTGTGGTGTTTTAAGAATGAAATTAAAAAGTTCAACTGCCTAACGAGAAACTTGACAGCGAGAATACAATGGGTGGGGAGGTCAGCAAACTCTATGGCTGATGGTCTTGCAAAGCAAGGGGTAAATAAGGAAAGTTTGTATTGGGCTCAATTGTAGACTGAATCTGTTTTCTATCTTTTGTCTTTCTTCCTACTGGTAGGAGAGGACGCAGCTCGTGCCTCTCCAAGGGAAGCTTGTAACTGCACTAGTTTTTTATTAATGAAATTGATCCTTTTTTTATCAAAAAAAAGGCTGCAAGTATGCCTCTTTGGTCTCTACCAGCTGATGGGTTCATTAAGCTGAATTTCGATGGGAGTAGTGAAGGTAACCTAGGTTCCTTAGGTGTTGGAGGTGTTTTCAGAGATGACGAAGGAAAAGTTGCTGCCTTATATTCAGGGCCAATAGGTACAAGTGACTCATTTAGAGCTGAGATTATGGATGTACTGGAAGGAGCAAAAGGCAAATGGGTTAAATATTAGAAGACTGATTGTTGAAGGCAACTCTAAGTTGGTGATTAATTGGCTACAAAAAGAGGAAACTGGGCTTTGGAATTATGTTAATGAAAAAAAAAGGCTTAAATGGCTGGCCCAGAATATGGAGTTTGATTTCAGTGGGTGAAGAGAAGTTCTAATACACTTGCTGATGCACTTGCTAAACAAGGGGTGGGAAGGGGTAACTTGTTTTGGGCTTTGTTGTAAGTTTGAGTAATTTTCCCTCCCCTTTTCTCTTGCATCTTCTTCTTTAATCTTTTAATAAAATGATTAAAAGAACCTCCACTCAGGTTGGAGCATTGCTGGTTGGACTCAGAGGATTTGGTAACAAATGTTAAAAGGTGGTGGTCTGATTGTTCGTTTGAAGGTTTTGCCAGCCATGTTTTCTTCAAAAACTAAATTGGTTGAAAGGAAAAATCATGGCTTGGCAGAAGAGAATGTCAAAGATGGAGGTGGAAGAAAAGGAAGAGTGCATGAAAATCATAGCTGATATTAATGCAGAGGAGGAGAGTGGGTCATTGGATGAGGAGAAAAGGAGATGGCTCTTTAGCTAAGAGGGTATTTGACACTCTAATGCACCAAGCTGAAGTCAAGTGGAGGCAAAGAGCTAGAGTAATGTGGCTGAAAGCAGGTGATAGTATTACTGCTTTCTTCCATAAGGTGGCCAATGCAAGAAAGAGGGTTAATTCCATAAAAAAGTTGGAATTGGAAGGCAGGGAATGAGCAATGAGGAAGTCATAGCAGATGCTTTTGTTGATTTTTATAAAGATCTTTTCAAGGAACCTTGCAAGAAAAGACCAAGGCTGGATGGTTTGAATTTTGAATGCTTATCTGAACAGCAGAGTTTAGATTTGGAAAAACCTTTCTCGGAGCAAGAGGTTAAGAAGGTTGTAGAAGAGTTGGAAGGGGAAAAGGCACTAGGCCAGATGGCTTCACAATTCTGTTTTTTAAGAAGTTTTGGGAGCTCATTAAATCTGATCTATTAAAGGTCTTGGAAGAATTTCATGATTCTGCAGCCCTTGAGAGAAGTTTAAATGCAACTTTTATCTCCCTCATCCCCAAAAGAAAGGAGATACAGAGTTGAAAGATTTCAGACCGATTAGCTTGATTGGAAGTGTTTACAAGATCCTAGCTAAACTTCTGGCCACCAGGTTAAGAAAGGTGATGGACTCTCTAATCTCTAAGTACCAAGGGGCTTTCATCCACAACAAACATATTCATGATGTAGTTCTCATAGCAAATGAACTAATAGACTCAAGGCTAAGAAGTGAAGAAAGTGGGCTAATCTGTAAAATTGACTTACAGAAGGCTTATGACCATGTTAATTGGTTTTTCTTCTCTTGGGATTATTTGCTGAACAGAATGTACTTTGGCTCTAAGTGGAGAAGTTGGATTAAAGTTTGTTTTTCCACTCCAAGATTTTCAGTGCTTGTGAATGAGCTGGATGACAGTGGTTGGGGTAGTGGTCTGCCTTTGCCGACTTATGGGTGTAGTCTGTGGAAAGGAATATGCAGAGCTTCAAACCTGTTCAGAAGGGGAATCGACTTCAAAGTTGGGGATGGGAGAAGGATCAGGTTCTGGTTAGATCCCTGGACTGGGGAGCGATCTCTTAAGGAACTATTTCCCACCCTGTTTAGTCTGGCTGTAGATAAAGAGGCAATGGTAGTTGATACCTTAGTGTTGAGGGACAATGCTATATGCTGGGTTCCGGCCTTTAGAAGGGATTTCAATGACTGGGAGATTTAGCAGGTTGGAAATCTCCTACCTTCCCTTCAGTCTTAGGTGTTGAATCTGCAATAAGAGGATTCCTTAATGTAGAGATGGAACAGAAGTGGGGAGTTTTCAGTTAAATCCTTCTATAACTTCATAGTGGGGGGGGGGGTCTGAAGCTCTCTTTCCTAGCTGGGCTGTTTGGGGGACTGTGGCACCCTACAAAGTCAAGTTCTTTGTTTAGGTGGCAGCTTTGGAGAAGTGTCTCTCTAAAGGGATGTTGGTGAAGAAAGGTTTTAACTGTAGTGATCTGAGGTATAGCCTCTGTGGTGTGTTTACAGAATCAATAAACATTTGTTTTTACACTGCAAGTTTGTTACAAAAATCTGGAACCACTTCTTAAGAAGTTTGAGGTTAAGTTGGTGTATGCCAGCCTCAGTTAAAGCTTGCCTGGAGGCGTGGCAGATCCAAGGGATGACAAAAAAAGGAAAGAGGTGCTGGTCTGCAATTCCCTTAGCAATTATGTGGGCGGTATGGACAGAAAGGAATAGCAAGGTTTTTGATCTCAAATCCTCTTTGGAAGAAGTCATCAATTCGGCTTTAGCCTTTGTTAGAAATTGGTTGTCTATTCTTGCTGACTTTAAAGAGGTTACTTCTGACTGTAATTTTTTGAGGATGACCTTCTTTTGAGGTCCTTCTGGCTTTTTGTACAGCTTCTCATTGTAAAAAGGACCTTTTTCATTAATACAATTATACTTTACCTTTTGCTAAAAAAAAAGATTCTAATATCGATAAAAAAAATCTGAAAAGAAAAATCTGCTCTTTATTTTATTTTTGATTTTCAAAGCCTGTAATATTAAAAGGAGGGCATTTTAGTCATTATGAGCCATCTCGAACACATCTGAAAACGTTCTGCGCATGGGCCACCTCTTACCAAATCAGACCCTTTATCACTTTTCAGGCGTTAATACAAACGGGACTGAACCTCTGGAAAGCAATTTTCTTTTTCAGATTTCAGACCCCGATATGGATTAATCAAACACCACCTTAGTATATAATTCTTATATTCTTTTTTCACTCAGCAAATAGCTTGAGATTTAGTGGCATTTTTGGTCTTTCAATAAATGAAGGGTGGCAAGTTGGCAACCATTGTACAATAAGGCATCCAGTGATTCTCTCTTCTTCACACTTATGCAAATTCTAGAAAAGTGTCCAGCCTATGGTTTCTCTTGTAGCTTTGGGGAGATGATCCAATTTTGTCCTCTTATAGTTTCATTGTTAAGTTCATTTAAGGACTCTTTTGATTTGGTATCTCTTGTATAAAATGGAGGGTTTGTTTAAGTCTCTTCTTATTCTTTCTAGAAGGTGGATGATAAAAAGGCATACATACCATGCTTTTTGAACGATTTTAGCTAACCTAATTACTTTCCATTGATATCAATTTATTTTGTTGTAGAAAAGATGGGAATCTCTCTTAAGTCAGGGGAAGAGGGTCATCATTGTTGGTGATCTCAACATTGCTCCTTCTGCTATAGATCGCTGTGAAGCTGGCCCAGATTTTGAGGAAAATCAGTGAGTAGTAGCTGATTTTCTTTGAGAAAGGCTGTGACTTTTGGGCCACAAATCTCTCAGTATGCCTGGATTGGAGATTTAATATTTGTGTTCTGTTGACTTCTTTTTTCATTTGGGCTGCCTTTGTCAAAAGGCTGGGGTTTGGGTTCTCATCATAAAGGACACATTCTTCTGATCATTTTCTTTAATAAAGTTGCATTTTATGGCTGAAAAAGAAGGCTGTGTATGGATGGCAGAGCAGATATGGAACTGAGTTAAGCTCCGGCCTCAATTCTGGAATTCAAATGACCACCCCCTAGTTAAAAATCTGCTTTAATTCCATTTCCCAAATGGACTTGGATGGACAAATCTGAGGACTTGCAACTCTTGTTCCCTCCTTTTCTATTCCAATTCTGCCCTGATCCAAACACAACCATATTGTTTATGGTTGCAAAATACATGCTTGCTGAATTTAAGGCTATGGAGATGGCTATTTTAAAGTAGAATGTTTTTTTTGGTCAACCATAGAAGGGACATAGAACGGATATAAGTTTTGTCCTTTATATGATATTTCCGAGGCTTGACATCTGTGCTGAATTTTTTTAGGTTTCGGAGATGGCTTAGATCGATTTTAGTGGGTGGAGGAGGCCCCTTTTATGATGTTTTTAGAGCAAAACATCCTGACCGGTAATTCCTGCAGTCATTCGATCTAAGATTCCTGTTAAATGACCATGTATTGTGTTTATTATGGCTGTCAATTGCCCAGTTATGGTAGACCTGGTATTGATAATCCTATTATCGATCTTTTTATCCAAGCAAATATTAATTTACAGAGGAAAGATAATACAATAAAGTTATCAAAAAGAGCAGGGGAAAGCCTAACCAACATTGCTCTTCCTCAAAAGACTTAGTTTGTTTGGCCATCTCATGGCCCAAACAATTCCTAGATCTAGGAATATACTGAAAGAAACTGTACATCCTTGCATACAAACAACCTTAATAGAGTCCATCTGATGCTCCAGATACCAAGGACAAGAACCAATACACCCATTCACAAAAGAAATGGCCAACTAAGAGTCGGAGAAAATAACAAAATGAGAAAGATTTTTTTTTTTTTCTGATAAGCCAAAAAAAAGCAGCTTTTAATATCCAAAATAAAGACAGAAATGCATAACAGCATAAAGCCATACATTTTCCAAGCCCCATGAAAAAGATTTTGGCTGCACACAAACAAAAGCGCAACCAAAATAGACTTCATCTCCATCTCCAGCACTGAGCCCTTCAGCCCTGCAGCTCCTCCTGCGGCAACCACAAAAGCACCAGCCTTAGAAACACAAACAAAACCATAAGAACCTTTAGAAGGATTAATCAAAGCCCCATCATCAAAGAAGAAAAATCTTGTATCAATAGACAAAACCGTAGACAAATGAGGGACACAGTTAACAGAAGCTGGGGGAGAGCTTAAGTCCTCAGAATGAGAAGCTACACAATCACCAAAAGCAACTGTGATATTCCTGATAGCTTTTTCAAGAGTCCAAGAAACATTTCTAAGAACTAAATCATTCCTAAATAACCAGATTTTGTAAAGAATAACAAGTCCAGCACAAAAATGGGCTCCTGTCAGCTTCCCTATTAAAAATTAAAAGCTTATCAGAAAGCAAAATCTCAATAGAAGATTTTCTAGACATCAAAATTACAACCCAGAGGTGATGCAAACCAAATGGCCCTAGAATAATCACAAGTGAGATCCATCCTATTATTGATTGGACCCAATTATAAGTAACTTGCTAAAAGATCACATAGAAATGTATAGATATAATATGATATTTTATATTGCACAAATGTATTATATTATGCCATTACATAATAGTACATATCTGGTCAGCTTAGGTCTTACCAGGATGGACTGGGGTAGACTGGTTAACCACCAACAACTTTCATTAGGTCTAAAATAATTAAACCCTGCACTGATCAGATAATGTCTGATAAGTTGACCCAGTCCCAGTCTATTTGAAGGCTTAGTATTTATAACTTTATAAATTTGTTGACAATGGAATATCACATTGTAGTCTTATTTCATTAATGTAAAGATGAAAAAGTGAGTTCACACTGAATAGAAGTGTTTTTTTTTTTTCATGCATCACACCTTATTTTCCTGTACATTAAATAGCTCTGTAAGTGGATAAGATTCATGTGCATTTAGAAGCATTTGGATGTTTTATTGTGTCTTTGTTACCTAATTTGTGTTTCTTAATGGCTTTTGTTTTCTCTTCAAGGTCTCTTCTTTTTTCTAAACTAGTGTTAACAATAAAAAATATTGTTTGCATCTTATTTTTAATTTCTTTATACCATGTTGGATGAAAAATTTAAGATGTTAGTTTTCAAGTGTCTTCTATATGCTTCAGAGATTGCAAGATAGGTTAGGTATCTTGATATATGGTGAATCTTGTGTTCATCCAGATTATTAGAATTCAAGAAACAAATAATCTATGCTAGAAGTGAAAAAACAAAATATGCTTACTTGATATATGTTTGCTATTCCTCATATTGGACCCATGAGCATCATAAATTTTGAACTAGGTTGAAGCATTGATCCAAGACACGTGTATTTCAAAATTGTAACTAATTAGTTCTGAATATCTGAAGTCTATTTTGAGTGAATAACAGCTATGCCAAATAAATGGAGGAAAACTCTGTACTTATTTTCTCTTTTGTCAAAGTACTAAATTCTATTCAGACTTGGTATTGCACTTCTTTGATCTTCATGAAATAATTAAAATGAAAGTTAGGCACTTTACAGACATGATAGGCATATTATTTTCTGTTTTTCTGGGATAAATTTTGTCTTCGTTTGGATTTCTCCTTTTGCAACTTATTTTGTATATGTGCCTAATCAATGTTCCTATTGAACAATGCCACAGAAAAGAAGCATATACTTGCTGGCCACAGCATACTGGTGCAGAGGAATTCAATTATGGGTCAAGAATTGACCATATTCTCATTGCAGGATCATGTTTGCATCAAAACCATGATACAGAAGGCCATAACTTTGTAAATTGCCATGTTAAAGAGTGTGACATAATGACACAGTTTAAAAGGTGGAAGCCTGATAACAATCCCAGGTAAATTTTAGAACTGAACAGTTTACTAAAATGAGCACGAGAAGGTTGACCTGGCAATAGGTGCTGTTTGCCCAACCCTCTTAGGAAGTGCTGCCCAAGTTGCCTGAAACAGCTGCCATTATAAATAGAAGAATTAAAGATATGACAATTCTTAAGTCTGAAGAATTTCAGGAAGGAAATCACTAAATTACAGCCTCTTTAATGGTCTATGCAAGGGTTAAAGTTGCGATTTAATGGTAATTTGCATAAAATAGGGGAGAAAGAGGAATATAAAAATAGAGAAAGATTATATAGGGCAAACAGATAAAGGGTGCAGTCTTGATAACCCAGGGGACGATCGAATCTCACTGTTGTAACGTATAAGTCTCAGCTGACAAAAGTCAGGAGGTTCATAGAAACTAGAATATTCATCATTCATGATTCTTGGAATGAGAAGTGTACAACTATTGAAGAGGACAAGAGATCCCTTTTACAATGAGATTCTAAAACATACTTGGTTGCTTATTAAAAGAGAAAACAATTGTGATAAAAATGTATAAGCATAATCATAATCAATAAGCTGATAAGTAGCAACTAGATTATCAGTCAATTTTGGAACAAGGAAAACATGTGGTAGGTAAAAGGAACTTGAGGGAAATTTCGTTCAATTATAAAAAAAAAAGGAACTTGAGGGAAATGTAGAGAGTCTTCACCTTTCATAATGATGATCTTATTATTTCCCATGTATGGTTTATAGTGGGATTGATTTGGATAAAGACTAGTAATATGATTTGACATGCTAGAATCAATAATCCAAAAAGAAAAGAAAGGATACAGGAACCAACTACGCCTACATAGACAAATGGTAGAGAAGGTATCAAAAACAATAGAAGATAAAATAAAGGAGATCATAGACTAAACATGTTACTGCATCTCATTGGCAAAATCAGGCACCTGGGAAGAGGATCCTAATTAGGAAACTTAACTTGGGTTGAGTATCTACACTACATCTCTTTGAAAACTGCTTGATATGCCTTATTTCATCTATCCCTAATTATTAGCAGAAAGATACAAAAGAAGGAAGAAGAAAAGAGGAGATAGAGAAGAGAAGAGAAAGTGTTTGGGAGTCAAATCTGTTTTGGCGACACCAGAATATATTATATTATATTATATATAGGGCGACACTTAAAAGATGGGGAAAGGACTCTTATGCCCCTGCGGCACTTGCAATACATAAACAGAATAAAAAAAACCATGTTATTCTAAACAGAATGAGAGAAAATAAACTGAATAAAATAATCAGAATAAACTAAGCTATTTCAACACTCCCCCTCAAGTTGGGACATAGATGTCAATCATGCCTAACTTGTCATACAAATCATTGTGCCGCATAGGATGAAGACCCTTGGTGAAAATATTTGCAATTTGTTCTTCTGAACTGACATAGGGAGTGCATACTTATCTACTCACAAGTTTTTCCCTAATAAAATGCTTGTCCACTTCAATATATTTTGTCCTATCATGGAGGACTGGGTTTGCGGCAATGTTGGTAGCAGCTTTATTGTTACAATAGAGTGACATGGTGTCACGGGGGTAATCGTTGGGGCCCCGTGCGGCACTCGAAATGGGCGAGTAAGCCTACGAAACAAAGCAAACACACACACAAAGGCAACACGAAGGCACACGAATTAGCAAAAGGCTACTTGTATTGCATTAATCAGTGGTAAGCACAAGCACACAGTACAGTGTCGAGGGGATCTCGT